TGCTCCGTCAGAGACTCTCTGTTGTGTTCCCTGTCAGGGTGGTCATTGGTGGTAGCCGGGCACCATCTAGTTCTTCTGGTCTTGGGCTGATGGAGTCTCTGATTTATGTGGCCCTTTTGTCTCTTGGGCTAATATTTTCCTCGTGTCTTTGGTGTTCCATTCTCCTTTGTTGAGCAGGTTTTGATATCTGGTAAGGCAAATCTTATTTTCATTTTAAAAACTTCTTGGCTTTCGTTTGGCACAAACTCTTCAGATTAACTTTAGATCCAAGTTTGAAAAAATCATGGATCTTGATTGGAATTATACTGAAGTAATAGAGAACTGACATCTTTCCATTTTGGAACATGTTGTATATCTTTATTTATTTGGGTCTTTATGCCATTTGGTGAAATTCTTGCCCTCTTCTCCTGAAGTTTATTTTTTAGGTATCTTATACATTTTGTTATTATCACAAATGTAATTTTTTTCTCTTTAAATTTTCTAATTGGTTATTGCTGGTATAGTTTTTTTGTTATTTTTATTGTTGTTCTTTAAGTAAACGTTTACAATTCAAGTTAGTCTCTCATACAAAAATTTATGTATACATTGTTATGTGACCCTAGTTGCTGTCCCTATACTGTGACAGCACACTCCTCCTTTCCACCCCAGATTTCCTGTGTCCATTTAACCAGCTCCTGACCCTGCTAGTATAGTTTTTAAGAAACTATTGATTTTTATAAATGAATCTCATAATCACCTACATTATTGAACTTCCTATTCTAATGTTTTTTGTTTCCAGTTAATTCTCTTGGCTTTTCTAACTGGATAATTATATAATCTGCAAATGATAACTTTTTATCCTTTTATTTATAATATTTATACATGATTTCTTTTTCTTACGCTATTGTGTTGTGAAACCCCTATAATGGCGCAGTGGTTAAGAACTACTGGCTGCTAACCAAAGGGTTGGCAGTTCGAATCCATCAAACGATGTATTGCATTGAGCACATCTACTGCAAAAGACCTCTTTAAAGTGTTAAAATGCAAAGATGTCACCTTGAAGACCATGGTGCGCCTGATCCAAGCCATGGTGTTTTCGGTTGCCTCATATGCATGTGAAAGCTGGACAATGAATAAAGAAGACGGAAGAAGAATTGACACCTTTGAATTATGGTGTTGGCGAAGAATATTGAATATACCATGGACTGCCAAAAGAATTAACAAATCTGTCTTGGAAGAAGTACAGCCAGAATGCTCCTTAGAAGCAAGGATGGCGAGACTGTGTCTCATGTACTTTGGACTTGTTATCAGGAGGGATCAGTCCCTGGAGAAGGACATCATGCTTGGTAAAGTAGAGGGTCAGCAAAAAAGAAAAAGACCCTCAATGAGATGAACTGACACAGTGGCTGCAACAGTGGGCACAAGCATAACAACAATTGTGAGGATAGTACAGGACAGGGCAGTGTTTCATTCTTTTGTACATAGGGTCGCATGAGTCAGAACCAACTCGACGGCACCTAACAACAACAACAACAATTGTTGTTGTGAGAACCTCTGAGTGAGGGTGAGGGGTGGTAATCCAAGGAAGTCTTCTTGGCAAGTGTTAGGTTTAAGCTGAGTATCCAAGGATGTACAGCAGGTGAAATAGGATAGGTAGAGGATATATTCCAGATAGAGGTCTTGTGGAGAGAAACAAGGCAGCATTCAGTGAACAGAAGGAAGAATGACTAGTGCATAGGACACTAATGAAGTTGGGAGTTGCAAGAGATGGGTTTGGAGAGTAAATCTGGCTCGGTCACAAAAGGCTCCTGGGCTCTAAGGAACAATTACTTTATTCTAAAGGAATTGAGAATTTAATGAAGGGTGTGTTAGGTAGAATGGCTCCCTAAAGATATCCACTCCCTGATACTGGAACCTGTGAATATGTTATGTTATATGGCAAAAGGAACTTTGGAGATATAATTAAGGTTAATAAACCCAAACCAGTTACAGCAACAACAGCTGAAAAACACATGTATGGTTACATATGTGGGTGTATGCTTATACGTATACAGGTAGATATATGTGTGTATATATATGTGCATGAATAGGTATGTCTATATGCATATGTATATAAATGTATGTGTGAACATGCATATATATTCATACATATAATAAAGCACATAGGGGACACAGTTACTGATACTTAGACATAACCAGTGGAGTGGTTCACTGGGTTTGAAGGCTGAGGACCTTAGTCTTGTGGGAAAACTCAGTCAACTGGCATAATATAGTTAGTAAAGTCTATGCTCTACATCCTAATTTGATGAGTAATGTCTGGGGTCTTTAAAGCTTGCAAGCGACCATGCAAGATGCAACTATTGGTCTCTACTTGTCTGGAGCAAAAGAGAAAGGACCCCAAATACTTAGAGAAGAAACTAGTCCAGAGAACTAATAGCCTATATGAACCATGGCCCCATTTACCCTGAGACCAGAAGAACTAGATGGTGCCTGGCTACCACTACCAACCATTCTGCTCAGGGCCAAAATAGTGGATCCTAATAGAATGGGAGAAAAATGTAGAACAGAACTCAAATTCTTAAGAAGTCCAGATTTACTAGACCAGTTGAGACTAGAGGACTTCCTGAGACAATAACTCTGGGATATCCTTTACACTTTGAACCAAAGCTACTCCTAGAGGTCACCTTTCAGCTAAATAACAGATAGACTCTTAAAATAAAGACTATCACCCATGAGTACTGTGTTCTTTTAAAAAATCATGTATATGAGACCAAGAAGTCAACATTTACTCTAAAGCAAAGATAAGAAGGTAAAGGTGGTGGGGAGCAGGGAAATTAGATTACTGGAAATGGAACAACTGGAACAAAATTAATGAGAATATTGATAACACTGTGAAAAATGTAGCCAGTGTCACTGAACAATTTGTATAAAACCAAAACCAAACCCATTGCCATCAAGTCCATTCCAACTCATAGCCACCCTAAAGGAAAGAGTAGAACTGCCCCATAGGGTTTCCAAGGCTATAGTGTTTACGGAAGCAGACTGCCACATCTTCCTCCCGTGGAGCCCGTGGTGGGTTCGAACTTCTTTCTGTTAGCTGCTGAGTGCTTAACCACTGTGCCACCAGGGTTCCTGAACAATTTGTATAGAAACTGTTCAGTGGGAACCTGATTTGCTGTGTGAACTTTCACCAAAATACAATAAAATATTTAAAAAAAAAACAAAACCAACCAGTTGCCGTCAAGTTGATTCTGACTCATGGCGGTGTGTTTCAGAGTAGAAATGCACTCCGTAGGGTTTTCAATGTCTGTAATCTTTCAGAAGTAGATCACTAGACCTTTCTTCCAAGGTACCCCTGGGGTGGATTTGAACTGCCAACCTTGCGGTTAGTAGCCAAGTACTTAATCATTTGTGCCACCTGGGGACTCCAAACCAGTTGCCATCGAGTCAGTTCTGGCTCATCGAGACCCCATTTGTTTCAGAGTAGAACTGTGCTCTTTTGGTTTTTCAAAGGTGTGTCTTTCGGAAGTAGATTGCTAGGATTTTCTTCTGAGGTGCCTCTGGGTGTATTTAAACTGACAGCCTTTCAGTTAGTAGCTAGTGCTGAACTGTCTGCGCCACCCAAGAACTTATTTAAAATAGGGAAGTTATCCTGGATTATCTAGGTGGGCTTTATAACCACAGGAGCCCTGAAAAGCAGAGAACTTTCTACAGTCGGAAGCAGAAGAGATGTGGCAGAAGGGGAACTTGGAGAAATTCAAAGAGTAAGAGGTATTTGACCTGCCGAAGCTGAAGGAGGGCCACATGGAAAGCATGAGAAGGAATTTGGGCAGCCTCTAGGAGCACAGACCGGCCCCCATCCGACAATCAGCAAGGAAATGGGACCTCAGTCTGACAACTGCAAGGAACTGAATTCTGCCAACAGCCTGAATGAGCTTGGAAGTGGATTCATCCCCCGAGCCTCCAGAAAGAAACGCAGTCCCGCAATGTCATGGATTGCATTATGTCCCCCCCAAAATGTGTGTATCAATTTGGCTGGGCCATGATTCCTGGTAGTGTGTGATTTTCCCATGTGTGGTAAATCCTGACTCTATGATATTAATGAGGGAGGATGGGCGGCAGTTGTGTTAGTGAGGCAGGACTCAATTTACAAGACTGGATTGTGTCCTGAGGCAATCTCTTGAGATAAAAAGACAGAAGTGAGCAGTGAGACAGGGGGACCTCATACCACCAAGAAAGCAGTGCCAGGAGCAGAGCGTGTCCTTTGGACCCGGGGTCCCTGCCCGGAGAAGCTCCTAGTCTGGGGGAACAGTGATGAGAAGGCTGACAGAGAAAGCCTTTCCCTGGAGCTGACACCCTGAATTTGAACTTTTAGCCTACTTTACTGAAGGAGATAAACTTCTCTTTGTTAAAACCATCCACTTGTGGTATTTCTGTTATAGCAGCACTAGATGACTAAGACACGCCAACACCTTAGTTTTGGCCTTGTGAGACTAAGCAGAGGACTCAGCTGAGCCACACTGTTCCCACACTTTTGGCCTTTAGAACTGTGAGATAATAAATCTGTGTTGTTTTAAGCTGCCAAGTTTGTGGTCATTTGTTACAGCAGCAGTAGAAAACTAATACACTGGGGTTTAAGCAGGTAAGTGACATCAGATTCTGTGTTATTAAAAGATCACTCCTTGTGCTGTGTGGAAAGTGGATTTCAGAAGAGTGCAAATTTGGAGGCAAGGAAACTCGTTTGTGGGCATACAGTGGTGGCTTAGATTAGGGTAGTGGTGGTGGGAAGGGAATATGATTTGAGATTTACTTTGGAGGTTAGAATTGTCAGAACTCAGTCATTGATTGGATGTCAGGGATGAGGGAGAGGGAGGATGCAAGAATGACAGCTGGTTTCTGGCTTGGTTGCTGGGTGACTGGTAGAACTATTCCTTGAGATAGTGATGAACAGGTTTGGAAGATGACATGTCACGAACTCAGTGATAATTCTAGGTTGTCCTTCATTTGGAAATTCTATAGATACTTTTATTTTAAGATAGGATATATCAATATGATGACTGCTTTATCTTTTATGACCTGATTTCTTTTTTCCCTTAGGTCATGTAGGAAATCACAAATCATGTGAAGATGGGACTCTTGGTATTTGTGCGTAATCTGCTGCTAGCCCTCTGCCTCTTTCTGGTACTGGGATTTCTGTATTATTCTGCGTGGAAGCTACACTTGCTCCAGTGGGAGGACTCCAGTAAGTATAATCACTCTAGCCCACCCAAGGAGAAGGCTGTTGCATATGAGTTATCTGGCTTTTCATGTGGCTTAATGATCTCACATTCTTCAGAGATGGACAGTGAGAGTAAACTGAACATTTCTGGGATTTAGGCTTAGAAGTTGCCTGCCACTTTATTTGCTACAGGCTAAGAATTTTGATGCTTTCTGAAAATGGCATGCCATGGCAAATCTCAGTTCCTTTTATGAAGCCAGTGAGAATGGAGCTATTCAATAAAAACTCAAACTATACAAGCTCTTGCATGTTTTGTTCATCCATTTAATTACTACAGGGTATTGCCACTCCCATTTGCCATTTATTGCCTTGGGACTTGGTATTAAAGTTGATTTTTCTTTCTGCCCTTAAAAAATTCATCTTTGCCTTTTCCTTTAATTTTCATTAAAGAAACCTGTTTACTTAATCTTTTTAGCCTTTGCTGTTAATTGAACCTGCACCTGATTAGCATAATGATTTCTTTTCCTTAACCAGTAACTCTTAACTCCCTTTTATCATTTGTGCATTTAGTCCCATGTGTTGCATAGTGCTTTCCGCATAGCTGCCTGAACCCCTCTGACTTGGTTTGCATTCACCTGATTCTATCCCTGTGTTTTGGTTGTTGACTTGCAGTTGAAGGGCTTACATTGATCAGCACTAACCTGTGTACATTCACTTCTTGACTCTAGCTAAAAGTACCATACAGTGCCCCTAAGTGGTTTTCCTCTTGGTTCCTCTGTCTGATGGCTGAGCTTGGTGCAGGAAATATTAGGTCACCTGTTTGATTCTCAGTGAGTGTGTCTTCTCTGAACTAGTTTTATTTTTATAAATATCTACTGGATACCAGTGTAGAACTCACTTGATAGTAGAGTCATTTCTCAAAATGAGTTGGAATGAGTTGGAAAGGCACCTGGCAGATTGGACTACTGTTGTATTGAGACCCTAACATGGGAACTATTTCTATGAGGTAGTGCATTTATTGATCACATGGTCCTAAGTGCTGAAGCGGTTTCAAGCCAGTTTTTAAAATACAGTTTTATAGTTTTAATTTATTGTTTTCTTTAGAACATGTAAGTGCCTGTTAAATGCTTAGCTTATAATTACCACTAATTACTTTGTGTTTCCAGAGTTTATTCTGTACAGACTTATTTTTAAAATCAAGGAGACTAGCCAGGATAAGGAGCATTTGTACGAGCACAGCACAGTTAGAGGAGGAGAGCAGTTGTCTGTATCTGTGAAGGGTGGATCCAGCTGTATCAGTAATCTAGATGGGAATGTGTACCAGGGTAGGGGTCTCCTTTTCTGTTAAGGGCTACTGACTTACAGAAGTGATCAAGGATCAGATAATATTTCCCAGAAAAGCAGGAAAGGAAGTTAACTTTTTATTGAAGGCTTGTTGTGTGCCAGGTATTGTGCTAGACATTTTACATATTTAATTTAATTTAATTCTCACTACAGTGAAACCTGTGAGAGCCAGAACTCATGGGACTGCCTTGTTTTCCTGGGTCTTGCAAGTTTTCTGCCTTTGACAGGGTACAGTCTTACCACTTTTCTGTTGCTCATTTTAGTGGAAAATATTTTAGTTTTCCATCTCTGACAGGTTTCTGCCTTTCATAGGTTCCAGCTTTCACAGGTTTTACTTTATACCCTTGTGAAAGTCCCTAGGTGGTACAAACGGTTTGCACTTGACTGCTAACCCAAAGGTTGGCAGTCTGAGCCCATCCAGTGGTGCTACAGAAGAAAAGACCTGGCAATCTGCTTCATTAAGATTACAGCCAAGAAAACCCTTTGGAGCAGTTCTGTTCTGTAACACATAGGGTCGCCATGAGTCGGAATCAGTTTGAGGGCAACTAACCCATAGCTGTTAACCGCTGCACCACCAGTGCTCCAACAACAATAGTAACCCCGTGAAGAAGCTATTATTATCCCCATTTGCCAGTTGAACAAACTGAAGGACTTAGTTTAATTAATTTACCCAAGGTTAACTAGCTATTTTTTGGAATTAGAATTTTAATCCTGATTTTCTGTCTTTAAAACCTGTGTTCATTACTTTGTTGAAAAGTATAGTAAATACTAAAGAAATGATTTAATTCTGTATTCTGATTAGTAAAAAGATTGAGGAGAGGAGCTCAGAGAAGAAGTAGTAGAGGGTGTCAGGAGGGAAGTGGATAAAGGAAGAGGAAGGAGGAAAATAAAGGAAGGGAAAGAGAGAAAGCCCCCTAGAAGAAGACCTAGGGATTTGTAACATTTGGAGATAGCAAAATGCTATTCACTGTGCTGTGGGCTTCAGTAGTTTATTACGACCTATCTGCTGTTTTTGGATTAATTGTTAATTAACTACTATTCACAGCTTTTCCGCTATTCTGACTCTCAGGTCTTTTAGATATTTGACTTTGAATAGCTTGTTTAGACCACCCCACTGTAGCATGTTATTTTCTGTGCTGTAGTATCAGAGAACAGAGTAATACAGGTAACCCTTGATGGCTTGCCAAGTCAAATAGAGATTGTTTGCTCAGTAAACAAAGTCAAGCTGAAGGAACTTCCTAACCCAGATGACTGCTGTGTAGTGAAATTTGGACTGTTGTTTAATAATATTGATGATGATAATAATAATGAAATGAAACAATAGTTTGAGTGTTTACTATATGTCTGTGCTATAATAGGATCTTTATATTCATAATCTCATTTGATCTTCATAGTTTTTATTGGTTATTATTATTTTCATTTTTAAAATACAGAGCAATAATAGAGATATAGATAGGCATAGAGAGGCTCAGTAATCAAAAAGTTCGTATGCCTTTCATCTGAGGAGCTTAAAGGGCATTCCCAAGTTTGAAAATAAATGTACTGAGCATTACTTCTTAATTTTTGTACTATTAATAACTTATTAAGATTACCTATAGGAATTCCTGCATGTTGGGAGAGATTTTTATTATTGAATTATTTACTCAATAAGCAATGTGTTTCTGTTATGGTCTATGTACTGTTCTCGGTAAGCTAGGTGTAAGATGAACATAGACCTTCAAGCTCTCTGGCTATATGAGAAAGAAAGACAGCTAAATTTTATAGTGTGTTAAGTTCTAAAAGAGAGATGTGTATGAAATGCTATGTTGGAGCAAAAAATCTCTTTCAGATAGAAGTTTTATGTTTTCATTAATTCTGAGGCATATTGTAGAAGGATCCAAACTACTTTGTTTTGAGCAGCTTAGAGCTATACGTGGCTAAGACAGATCACTGGATCACTAAAGGCTTCAAATATGAGATTGTTCTAATTATCAAACTGTTTAAAAAAGTACCATAGAATTGGAGCCCTGGTGGGTGCAGTTGTTAAGAGCTATGGCTGCTAATCAAAAGGTCAGCAGTTCAAATCCACCAGCTGCTCCTTGGAAACCCTAGGGGGCAGTTCTACTCTGTCCTGTAGGGCCGCTATGAGTCAGAATTGACTCGGTGGCAACAGTTTTTTTTTTTTGTTTTTTTTTATGTAAAAGTCAGTTGCCATTGTGTATCAGAGTAGAACTGTGCTCCACAGGGTTTTCAATGGCTAATTTTTCAGAAGTAGATCTCCAGGCCTTTCTTTCAAGGCACCTCTGGGTAGACATAGACCTCTAACTTTTTGGTTAGCAGCCAAGCACATTAACTGTACCACCTAGGGATTCTATTCTCTGTATATGTATGTGTGTGTGTGTGTGTGTGTGTGTGTGTGTGTGTGTGTGTGTGTGTATAAAACCCATTCCTGTTGAGTTGATTCCGACTCATAGCGACCCTATAGGACAGAGTAGAACTGCCTCATAGAGTTTCTAGGGTGCACTGGTGGATTCGAACTGCACACCTTTTGGTTAGCAGCTGTAGCTCTTAACCACTATGCCACCAGGGTTTCTGTATATATATACATATATATATTTGAATTAATGAACAAATCAACACAGTTTTTGGAGTTAGAAAGAGTTGGACTTGCTTAAGTTTCTTCATCTCCAAAATAGAGATAAAATTACTTATATTTCTCTTGGCTCTGACACCTTATTCAGGTCAGAGCCGTGGATAAGAGTTGGGTAGTTGCTTGTTATCAGTAGAGCTGATTCCCATGACCCATGCCATGGAAGCTTTACATATTTTAATTTATTCATTTTCAATTTTATTTTTAATTAATAAATTAAAGTGGAGCCTTCATAGTAGTGAAAAGAATTAATTTCCTGTGTTGTGGGATGTTTAAAAATTCAGGCTACTATCTTTATCAATTGTAGCAACTCACTTTGTGCTCTTACCTTGATTTACAAAAGATCATAACCAGAGAGATTTAAAATATGCATTATCGATCTGATTACTACTGAGAACACTGTTTGACAAATAAGTTGGAGATTAGATCTGATACTGGGAGAAGGACAGGTTGAACTGAGCTTAGTAGATAGAGCACATTACATTAACTCTTAATTTTTCCATCTTAAAAATGAAATAGAAGTTGACATTTCTGGCCTGTGGCTTAGAGAGACACTTCTGCTTATGATGATGATGGAGTGAGTAACTGTTAACAGACTAGCCCTCCCTCCGTAAACAGCTATAAAACTGGACAAAATAAATGAAGCAACTGTTGTTAAGCAGTGGACAATAGAGAGTGTGAAACTTCAGTCTTTAAAAGAAGGGCAACTCATGAGATAAGCCCTATAGTTGCCCAACTCTCTGCCTGGGGACAGTATCCCAAGCCTGTTCAGAGAGCTGGACTAAGCAGACTGTGGCAAGTCCACTAAACTGAGGAGGCAGAGATCCCAGTTCAGGGCAGCTGAACCAACTGGAATCTGTGGGGTGGGCCATCACAGAGGAGGAAATTACTCAGAGAGAGGGTCCCAGACATCTGTATGGGAATGCCTGTGAGTCTATAGCTGAGGACTGGGTTATATATGCAAAAACCACTTGAGACTTACTGTGTGTGTGTGTGTGTGTGTGTGTGTGTGTATATATATGTATATATGTATGTATATGTGTATATATGT